ACCATGCTTCACCGTAGGGATGGTTCCAGGTTTCCTCCAGACGTGATTTTTGGCATTCAGGCTTAAAAGTCGTACTCACATCGGCTACGGAGAGCATGATCACATAGTCATCCGGAACAGCTGGTGCTCTCATGCATGCTTCAGTGTTGCTTGCCTCGAAGCGAGCAGTGGTTTAGCTCGTCTGGAAGTATTGTGTCACTGGGCAGCTCGCGGCTGTGCTTCCCTTTGTAGTCTGTAATAGTTTTCAAGCCCTGCCACATCCGACGAGCGTCAGAGCCGGTGTAGTACGATTCAATCTTAGTCCTGTATTGACTCTTTGCCTGTTTGATGGTTTGTCGGAGGGCATAGCGGGATTTCTTATAAGCGTCCGGGTTTGTGTCCCGCTCCTTGAAAGCGGCAGCTCTGCCCTTTAGCTCAGTGCGGATGTTTCCTGTAATCCATGGCTTCTGGTTGGGGTATGTACGTACGGTCACTGTGGGGACGACATCATCGATGCACTTATTGATGAAGCCAGTGACTGATGTGGTGTACTCCTCAATGCTATCTGAAGAATCCCGGAACATGTTCCAGTCTGTGCTAGCAAAACAGTCCTGTAGCTTAGCATCTGCGTCATCTGACCACTTTTTTATTAACCGAGTGACTGGTGCTTCCTGCTTTAGTTTTTGCTTATAAGCAGGAATCAGGAGGATAGAGTTATGGTCAGATTTGCCAAATGGAGGGCGAGGGAGAGCTTTGTATGCGTCTCTGTGTGTGGAGTAAAGGTGGTCTAGAGTTTTTATTTTCCTCTGGTTGCACATTTAACATGCTGGTAGAAATGAGGTAGAACGGATTTAAGTTTCCCTGCATTAAAGTCCCCGGCCACTAGGGGCGCTGCATCTGGATAAGCGTTTTCCTGTTCACTTATGGCCTTATACAGCTCATTCAGTGCAATCTTAATGCCAGCATTGGTTTGTGGTGGTAAATAGACAGCAATGAAAAATATAGATGAAAACTCTCCTGATAAATAGTGTGGTCTACAGCTTATCATAAGACACTCTACCTCAGGCGAGCAAAACCTCGAGACTTCCTTAGTATTTGATTTTGTGCACCAGCTGTTGTTTACAAATATACACAGACCGCCACCCCTTGTCTTACCGGAGTCAGCCGTTCTATCCTGCCAATGTAGCGTATAGCCCGCTAGCTGTATGTTGTCCATGTCATCGTTCAGCCACGACTCGGTGAAACATAAGATATTACTGTTTTTAATGTCCCCTTGGTAGGATAACCGTAATCTTAGGTCATCCAATTTATTCTCAAATGATTGAAGATTGGCTAATAGGATTGATGGGAGAGGCAGTTTACTCACTCGCCATCGGATCCTTACAAGGCACCCCGACCTACGTCCACGATATCTCTGTCTCTTTCTCATGCGAATGACAGGGATTTGGGCCTTGTCGGGTGTCTGTAGGATATCCTTCGCGGCCGCCTCGTTGAAGAATAAGTATTCGTCCAATACGAGGTGAGTAATCGCTGTCCAGATATCCAGAAGCTCTTTTTGGTTATAAGAGACGATGGCAGAAACATTATGTACAAAATAAATTACAAATAACGCGGAAAAACACACATAATAGTACAATTGTTTAGAGGGCTGTAAAGCGGCAGCCATCTTCTCCGGCGCCATCCAGTGTCATAATTTGGTTGTAATCCAGAGTGGTTAGAAAATGTATCTAGATCCTCCATGAGGCTGTGGAGGGATCCAAATTGTGGATTTAAAAGAAAACATGAATCATCAGCGTACAATGACACCTTTGTTTTTAAGCCCTGGATTTCTAATCCCTTGATATTATTGTTGTATCTGATTTTAATAGCTAACATTTCGATGGCCATAATAAATAGATATGCCGATAGTGGACAACCTTGTTCTACTCCTCTTGACAGTTTAATACTTTCTGAGAAGTAGCCATTATTTACTATTTTACACCTAGGGTTACTATACATAACGTTAACCCGTTATATAAGAGATTCTCCTAAATTGAAATATTCCAGCCATTTATATATACATTTCAGTCGTACTTTATCAAAAGCCTTTTCAAAGTCCGCTATGAATACCAGGCCTGGCTTCCCAGATTTGTCATAGTGTTCTATTGTTTCCATTACTTGTCTTATATTATCTCCAATGTATCGTCCATGTAAAAAACCTGTCTGATTAGGATTAATAATATCCGACAATACCTTTTTAAGTCTATGCGCTATGCATTTTGCTAGAATGTTTGCATCACAACACTGAGGTGTAAGGGACTGGATCTTTATATTTACTGTTTCACTAATAATTAAATCAGACCTTGTTGAGTGTCTGTTGTGACCATTTCCCCAAGCATCTCTGTGCAGCCAGACCTTTGATTTATTTTGTGCCACCAGGGCCACAATAATTTGCCCCCTCTCTGAATGTCAGAGTGTGACCCCATACCCATGGGTTACTGCAGCTAGTGTTGCCAGCACTGCCACTACCTGGGTGGGGGCACCCCACCAAAATTCCCACCAGCTAGGTACAAGGTCGTCAAGGTTCTCATTAGCAGCTTTGAGAAATTCCTTGTATATATTATGCTCACCCATCAGGGGGCTTTGGCTTGAGGGGGGCTCAGACTCTTGAGGGGGCGGTGCTGCTTTAGTGGGTCTCTGATCGCATTCATCTTTCTGTTTTGGCTGGGTATAGGCTACTTACAGTAGGCCCATTAAACAGATAAGGACTTCTCCTTAGTGTATGAGTCGCTCAGGTGGGTGTCTAAGGTATAGGGTTGGGGACCGTTCCATCATGATAGGACAATAAATAAACTATATAATTTATTTTATCTATTATATCTCCACAAAATTGAAAGCCTATGGTCTTTATTAATACAACCATTACACAGGCGGTCCCATGGAAAAAAAACGGGCCCGCCTATAGAAATCAAATGCCTGTCCAACTGCTTCCGTTCTGGCACCGGCTCTGCTCTCCACGATCCAGGTTCAGTGGCCATTTTAGCATGTAAATCTAGGTGGAACAAACAAACAAACAAATTTGGGGATGCATTCCAGCAAAGCCACTACACAACACTAAACAATACATTCATTGCACTACACAACACTAAACAATACATTCATTGAACTACACAACACTAAACAATACATTCATTGCACTATAACGGTGACAAACTGTGCCCACAAACTGTTAGGGCCTACTTAATGGAGTCCCAACAGCAGAGTCCCAAAACCTTACCACTGCCACACCTGGCTATCAGCGGAGCCTTGTCTGGCAGCGAAACAGTTCATTCAGCCTCATTTACTGCCTTTAAAAAAACATAGCTGATATGGCTGACTTGCTTAAACAAATGTGGTTTCTACTGACAATTGAGATGTACAAACTATGGCATAAGGGGACGACGAGCGTATCAGAGGCAATCTGTAATTTCGATTAAAACATTAATGAGCAAGCTAGGACGGACGTAGTCAATATAACTATTTGTTTAGCACTTTTGAAATGTACAGCGACAGAATTCAGAGCATGGGCCTTTCTTACAGTATTCTCCCTGTACTCCAAGTCAGAACCGTAGGATAAATAAAGGGGGCATATAAGCAGACAATGAAAGCTCTTACAATATTCAATGATTACATTTCTGTAAAACAGGTTATAGGCTACATGTGCACCACCAAGTCAGAACATTAGGTGAAATTAAGAGGGGAAAATAGACCAAATTATTAGGGTGAGGCACATGGTCTACTAACAGCTTACTACACAACATACACTTAGTATTACTTTCTTAGCTACAGTATACATATTTCCCTGGCATATTACATCATTTATGCAGCAGCATACAAGACATTTTTGGACTCACCATGTTGTGCTGTGCTCACTTGAACAGGAAGGTGGCGCGACGGTCCTTCGTGGGCTAAGTTTGTCATCAAATTTGTCTGGCATTCTCTGGATTTATGGTGCTTTCAAGACAACTGGGAACTCTGAAAAAAACAGGGTTGAATCATGACGTCAGTGATCTTCAGGTCAGAGCTCTAGAAAGAGGCCAGAGTTCCCGACTTACAAATTCCGAGTTGGATGACCATTCAAAACGTATTTTGCCAGTCGGAGCTCGTTTTATCTGTAATTTCTCTTCATATGTCAAGGATTAAAAAGGATTTGCCAGTAGATTGTCGACTTGATTCATGATAATGACTGCTAGCTAAGGTTTTGAAAGTATGATGTTGACATGATCAGTCCAATCAAAGCTACTGTAGATATAATGTGATTTGACATTATATTTATCTGTGGCCAATGACCTTGAGCTTTCTTGGATGGGCACTTCTAATCCAACGCCAGGGTTGTGGGTTCGATTCCCACGGGGGGCCAGTATAAAAAAAAAATGTATTCACTAACTGTAAGTCGCTCTGGATAAGAGCGTCTGCTAAATGACTAAAATGTAAATGTAAATGTAACTCTATGGCAAGGGGCTTGAATTTTCGAGCTCTACACTTAGATTTGGCAGTGATGTAGTGTCCCCATGAGTGACAGAACACTGAGCCAATCATGGCGCAACTAGAGAACATTACCACCACTATGCTCCGTATTTTCCGCTGGCTGAAACACTTGCATTTTGGAGCTGCCTTACTCAAGAAAGCAAAAAATAGACCATGTTTGAATGGAGGCTTTATTAACTCAATGAATATTAATGCCAAAATAACATGTAAAACAGACAAGCCCACCTGCGCTGAATGAGGAGTCTCAACTGCCTAGACTGGAGACTATTGGTTTGAATGTTGCTTATGAAGATACATTTTCAGAACAGAAAAACATGCCCTGCCTATCTAAGCCTACTTCATTAAATATGTATTGTAATGGTGTGCTTTTTTATTTCAATAAATTATACATTTGGGTCAATAAACTTTCAGTAGGCTTAAAGTGTCAACTCCAGAAGCTACCTGTTTGTGCAAACCGAACACCGCCAGCGATCCTGTCCCACAGCGGGGGCTCAGGTGTAACTCTCCTCTCCCCGATGATTGACGGACAAGTGTCGACAAGCTCAGACTCACTGCAGCAAGAGACCCAGAGGACGCTTCGGAATAAACGATACAGTATCCGAGGTAATTGCTGAGCATTAGGGCCAATGTCCCGTGAGTGCTCGTGCAAATCGCCACATGCTACTGCCAATTAAATTAGAGCCCGTGGCGCTTTGTGTTATGTCGTTAACATGAAAATAGACAGACATTCACATGCCAGGTAATTAACTGGTGCTTTATTTTAAATTTGTCAACTCATCATTACGCATCGCACTTTACACAAGGTTATTTAGCCTACACTTCTACTGTCATGTCTCCTTAATTTATAACTTTATAATTTTGATTAGAAGGCCAAAAATTATATTATAAAGTAATGCAAGCGACACAAAACATATTAAAACACTAAGGTGCATATAGCCTAGGCCTATACTCTGCTTAGTTATTTGTATTACACAAATTAAATGTCATTATTTTTCATTTATTTTATTTATTACAGTCAATAATTTCCATAACCTATGAACCTCAACAGCCCTTGTGCTTATCTCATGTCTCCGTGAGGAGGCTGTTTTGTCAGGTTGTCTTATGCAACACGGCCGATGTTCATCCCCTGAGGTTTGGCGGAGGCACCTGTTTGTGTTCTGATGCTGTTTCTTCAGAGCCTGTGACTGTGAACACGGCTACTTTATACCACACATTCACATCATGGATGTTACTGGATTCAATTGGAAATACCGGTTACTGTGTGGACTATGTGCTTTTCTCAACTTTTACGCGTCTGTCTCGGCGGAGTCCAGCTGTAAATTGAAGGCCAAGTTTAACCTGAGCGGGTACAGGAACGTGGAGAAGAAAAAGGTGGTCGTGGGAGGGATGTTTCCCGTTCACCGCCGCGTCGCCTCAGTCAATACCAACAGCTCCTCAGTGCCGGTGTCCCAGGGATGTGAGGGGTGAGTACCGGTGAATATTACTGTCATGGGATACAATTACATTATATTACTCAGGAGTTTAAAGCATTTAAACTGGATTGAGAGATGGAGAGAATTAAGGTGGGAATGTGGGAACATTTTCGAAATTATAATAAATTAGCCCTATTGTATTTCAAATATTATGCGAATACAATTTAGAACTAGAACATTCTGGGAATTGCTTCTCTACTGAGTCGCCCCCTCCTCCTCCCCTCAAGGTCCTGCTCCCTCATCCAATCTGTTACTCAACAATCACCATCATCCCTAAACTCTCCCTTCAGCCCCATAGACCTGTGCTTCTCCTATATTAGCCCATAAACTACATGATGATGATTTGGGCTTGTTCATTCCACCAATATTGTGATCTTTGTCGTCCTCTAGTGGCGGTTTAATGCAACTTTACTACATTTGATCATATATTGCAGAAACAGTACTATTCGAGATGGCTTAAAAGTAATGTCAGGATTCTACTACTAGTACTATTACTATTTCTAACTATTTCCCTTCATCTTCACTACTACCATCATCATCATCACCTCTCATCCAGATTTAACTTCCGGACGTTCCGTTGGACTCAGACGATGCTCTTCGCCATTGATGAGATCAACAAGCGGAGAGACCTTCTCCCTGATACAGACCTGGGCTATGTCATCTATGACTCCTGCTTCACCATCTCCAAGGCTGTGGAGGGCACCCTCACCTACCTGACAGGGCAGGAAGAGGCCGTGCCCAACTACCGCTGTGGCACAGGGGCGCCCCTGGCCGCTCTGGTGGGGGCTGGGGGGTCAGACCTGTCCATCGCCACCGCACGCATACTGGGACTCTACTATTTCCCCCAGGTATCTCTTTCCATCTACATACCCTCATATTAATACATGTACTCTCCTCTTCACTACAGTTCCTATATCTACTAGGTGGAGGGGCCTAACTAGTGTATAAGAGAAGAGAGGAGAAAGGGAGAAGAAGAAGAAGGAGGAAAAAGACGGAGAAGAGAGAAAAAAGAAGGAGAGAGAAAAAGAGGAGAAAAAGAGAGAAGAGAGAGAAAAAGAGAGAGCGAAGGAGAGAAGAGAGAGAGCGAGAGAAGCTCGAGTCCAGAAGAATCGCACGGAACGACAGGACGCTGCAAGACTCGCACGACCCGTCGAGCACAGCTCGCTACGCAACCGACACGCGCGACCGAACGCGAAGACGGTGCCGCTCCCTCGAGCAAGCTCGACACGCGAGCCCTCTCCCCACGATCACGAGCCGCTCCCCGCCTCTATCGCACTCGCTACGCTCGCCCTTCGCCTCTCCACCCAGAGCTTCAGTCTCTCCTAGCTGCTGCCTACATCGCACCTCCCTCTAGCCCCTACGCTCGCTCTCATCCTCGCGTCTCTCCCATCCACTCTCTCTCCGCCCTCTCTCTCCCCTCCATCTACTCCTCTCTCCCCTCTCTCCTCCCTCCCTCTCTCTCCTCTCTCCTCTCTCCCTCTCTCTCTCCCTCTCTCCCTCCCTCCTCCTCTCCTCTCCTCCTTCTTCCTCTCTTTAGGTGAGTTACTCGTCGTCCTGCTCTGTGTTGGACAGTAAGTTCCAGTTCCCCACCTTTCTGAGGACCATCCCTAACGACGTCTACCAGTCTGAGGCAATGGCCCGCCTGGTGCTTCACTTCGGCTGGACCTGGGTGGGAACCATCGCCGCGGACGACGACTATGGGAAGTATGGCATCAAGGCCTTCAAGGAACAGGTGGAGGAGGCTGGGGTCTGCATCTCCTTCTCTGAGACCCTGCCCAAGGTGACCGGTGACTGTTTCCATTACATCACAGCCCTCAATGTCTCTGTCTCTCTCAGTTTCTGCCTCTCTTCTCTCTCTTCTTCCCTCTCGTTCCCTCTATTTCTCTCCATCAATTTGCTTGTACCATAAACAAGTGAATAAAGTTTTGGAACCCCTCCTCCCTCCTGTTTTCTGTCCTGTGTAGGTGAGCGCTCCAGAGGACATCCAGCGTATTGTGAAGACGGTGGTGGAGTCGACAGCTAAGATCATTGTGGTGTTCTCCTCTGATGTGGACCTGAGCCCTCTGATCCAGGAGCTGGTCCAACACAATGTCACCAACCGCACCTGGATCGCCAGCGAGGCCTGGGTCACCTCTGCACTCATCAACCAGCCTGGGGTGAGGGGTCAACTAGTGGTTAGGTTCAACCTGTGGTCACAGGGACCATAGAATTAGAGTCAGCAGAGTGACTATTTTTATTCAAAGCGGTGTTCCCTGATATGTTGGGTGTTTTCTGTGTCCAGGTGAGTTCAGTGCTGGGTGGTACCCTGGGATTCGGCCTGAAGCGTGCTGAGATCCCCGGCCTCCAGAGTCACCTGCTGAACATAGACCCCTACGCCAACCCGCTCACCGAGGAATTTTGGGAAACGGCGTTCAACTGCACGCTGGACTACGGCCGGGCTCTGAGGCTGGCGGAAGAAACGGCGGCAGCGGAGCACGGGGGTAACACGACCCTGTCCAGGGCGGTCAGAGGGGTGCCTGAGGGGCTGTGTTCGGGACAGGAGTCCCTGGAGAAACTTAATAATACCTACTCTGACGTGACCCAGCTACGCCTCACATACAGGTAAATATGATGCTGGTGATGGTGATGGTGTTTGTGATGATACATTGTACATTGTAGTCATTTAGCAGACGCTCTTATTCAGAGCGATGATGATGATGATGTTATGTATTTCAGTGTGTACAAGGCTGTGTACACAGTGGCCCATGCCCTGCATAACATGGAGATCTGTGAGCCTGGCCAGGGGCCCTTCAACAACAACAACAGCTGTGCTGATATCACCAACTTTGAGCCCTGGCAGGTCTCTGTGTGTGTGTGTGTGTGTGTGTGTATGTGTGTGTGTATGTGTGTGTGTGTGCGTGTGTGCGTTGTGCGTGTGTGCGTGTGTGCGTGTGCGTGTGTGCGTGGGTGTGCTTGTGCGTGTGTGTGTGTGCGTGTGCGTGTGCTTGTGTGGTGTGTGTGTATGTGTGCGTGTGCGTGTGGTGTGTGTGTGTGTGTGTGTGTGTGTGTGTGTGTATAATTGTAGTTGCATCTCGGTTGTAACTGCTGTAGGTTTAACATGATCTATCTTCTCCTTTCTCATCTAGTTGATGTATTACCTGAAGAACGTGTGGTTCGACGTCCCCCACACCAAAGAGCCTTTATTCTTTAAGGACGGAGATGTGGACGGCTACTATGACATCATTAACTGGCAGGTGAAAGGTGACGGGGAGGTCTCCTACGTGACAATTGGCCAGTTCAACAGCACAGCAGCCCCAGAGGCCATGATGACCATCAACAACGCCTCAATAGTGTGGAACAATGATGAGCTGGAGGTCAGTGAGATACTGTAGTGAGAGGACAGAGACAGTGGTATGTGTGTACCCCATCTATCTGGCTGTCTCCCTCCCTGTCCTACTGGCCGTCTCCCCTCCCGGTTTTGGCGGTCTCCCTCCCGTCTTCTGGTGTTTCCCCCCCTGTCTATTGGCTGTTCCTCCCCGTTATCTGGCGTCTCCCTCCCTGTAATTGGTGTTCCCCCCCTGTCTGGCTTCTCCCCTCCCTGTTATTTGGGTGTCTCCCCCTGTCTATTGGTGTCTCCTCCCGTCTACGGCGTCTCCTCCCTTTTCTGGCTGTCTCCCTCCCTGTCTATCTGGCTGTCTCCCTCCCTGTTTTATCTGGCTGCCCCTCCTTTTCGGCGTCTCCCTCCCCCTCTATCTGGTGTCCCCTCCCTGTCTTGGGTCTCCCTCCCTGTTTTGGGGTCTCCCCCCCTTCTGGCTGTCTCCCCCCCCTGTCTGGCTTTCTCCCAGGGCTATTGGTGTCTCCCTCCCCCGTCTATCTGGCGTCTCTTCCCCTTTCTATTGGGTGTTCCCTCCCTGTCTTTTCTGTCCCCCCTTGTCTGGCTGTCTCCCCCCGTCATTGGTGTCTCCCTCCCTGTTATCTGGTTTCTCCCCCCCCTGTTATTGGTGTCTCCTCCCGTTTTTGGCTGTCTACCTCCCTGTCTTTTGGGTGTTCCCCCTTCTATCTGGCTGTCTCCCCCCCCCCCCCTTTTTGGGGGGTCTCCCCCCCTGTTATTTTGTCTCCCTCCCTTATCGGGGGGCCCTCCCTGTCTATCTGGGTCTCCTCCCTTATTCCCGGCTGTTCCTCCCCTTTGGATGTCTCCTCCCTGTCTATCTGCTTCTCCCCCCCTGTTTCTGGTGTCCCCTCCCTTATCTGGCTGTCTCCCTCCTTTTCCCGACGTTCCCCCCCTTTTTTCGGGGGGTTCTCCCTCCCCGTCTATTGTGTTTTCCCCCATCTTCTGACTGTTCCCCCCTTCTTGACTTTTCCCCTCCCGTCTGACTGTCTCCCCCCTTTATTGGCTGTCTCCCCCCTATTTGACGCCCCCTCCCCTTTTCTGACTGTTTTCCCTCCTGTCTGGCTGTTCCCTCCCGTTTTTTGCGTCTCCTCCCATTTTCTGACTGTTTCCCTCCCATTATCTGGCGTTCCCTCCCGTCATTTGGGGGCTCCCCCCGTCTATCTGGGGGGTCTCCCCCCTTTTTTCTGACTTTCCCTCCCCCTTTTACCCGACTGTCTCCCCCCTGGCTACTGTCTCCCCCCGTCTATCGGGCTTCCCTCCCGTTTCTGACTGTCCCCCTCCCTTCTATTGGCTGTCCCCCCCCCTGTTGAACCTTCTCCCCTTTTCCCCATCTACCCGACTTTCCCTCCCTTTCTGACTGTCTCCCCTCCCTTTATGGCGTCTCCCTCCCATCTTCGACTGTCCCCTCCCATTATTGGCGGCCCCCCCGTTTTTGAAATTCCCTCCCTTTGACGCTCCCTCCCTATTTTGACTTTTCCCCCCTGTCTGTATCCCCCTCCCTTTTTCTACATCTCCCCCCCTTTGTGTTCCCTCCCCTTTGATACTCCCCCCTGTCTGACGTTCCCCCCTGTTTTTCTGTCTTCTCCCTTTTCCCCTCTTCTGTCTGTCCCTCCTTATCTGTTTTTCCCCCCCTGCTATTGCTGCTCCCCCCCCTTTTCTATCTGCTGCCCCCCCCTGTTATTGCTGTTTCTCCCTGTCTATCTGCTGCCCCTCCCGTTATTGCTGCTCCCCCCCTGTCTATGTCCCCTCTTGTCTATTGTCTCCCCCCTCCGTTATCTGACTGCCTCCCTCCGTTATCTGTTGCCCTTTTCCCGTATTTTTCTGTTTCTGCCTCCTCCCCGTTTATCTGATGTTTTCCCCCTGCTATCGGCTGCCCCCTTCCCTTTTCTATGTTTTTTCCCTTTATTGATGCTCCCTCCCCTATCGGTTCCCCTCCCGTCTGATGCCTCCCCCCCTGTTGACTGCCCCCCTTTTGCCTCCCTCCCGTTGTTTCCCCCTTGTCTATTTATGTCCCCTTTTCCCCTGTTTCTGTTTTCCCTCCCCTTTATCTGACTGCCCCCTCCCTGTCTATCTGACTGCCTCCCTCCCTGTCTATCTGACTGTCTCCCTCCCTTGTCTGACTGTCTCCCTCCCTGTCTGACTATCTCCCTCCCTGTCTGACTGCCTCCCTCCCTGTCTGACTGTCTCCCTCCCTTGCCGTCTCCCTCCCTGTCTGACTGCCTCCCTCCCTGTCTGACTGCCTCCCTCCCTGTCTGACTGTCTCCCTCCCCATCTTTCTGACTGTCTCCCTCCCTGTCTATATGACTGTCTCCCTCCTGTCTATCTGATTGTCTCCCATCAGACTCCGAGGTCAGTGTGCAGTGAGAGCTGCCAGCCTGGTACCAGGAAGGGGATCAGGCAGGGGGAGCCCGTCTGCTGCTTTGACTGCATCCCCTGTGCTGACGGAGAGATCAGCAATGTCACAGGTAATGTATCATTGTGTACACCTTGTCAATCCCTAACAGAGCTTTGTCCTTAATACAATTGCACGTATTTGTGGTCTGCAGCAGAGGTGGTTTTGATTTGAGTCCACAGTTGCTTTGGGTTTTAAATGATATGTAGCTTGAGGGAGTTCTACCTGCTTTGTAGATTGAATCTATGTGTGTGTGTGTGTGTGAGAGAGACTGACCTGACATCGTCCTCTTCTCTGCCTCTCTCAGATGCCAGGGAGTGTATCCAGTGCACTGAGGACTACTGGTCTAACGCGGCCCGAGACACCTGCGTCCCCAAGACCATAGAGTTCCTGGACTTCAGTGAACCTCTGGGCATCACACTCATGATGATATCAGCCTTTGGAGCGCTGATCACACTGGCTGTGGGGGTGTGTAGCCAAAGGCAGCAACACGTAGTGCTATATTGGGGAATAGGGTGTTATTGGAGATTTGTATGATGGAATTATGAGGCGACATAGTCTCAGTGAATCAGGTAGTATTCACTGCCATTTATGATAGACATGAAGTGTATCAGGTTTTGGGTCAATTCGTATTGAAGTCACTCAGGAACATTTAATTATACATCTTCTCCTTTTCAGTTAATTGAGAAATCATTGAGTATGGAATTTTTTCCATTTTTGAATTGGAATTTCAGTTTACTACCTGAATTGGGTGACTTCAATTCGAATTGACCCCCAACCCTGGTGTGTATAATGTCCTACTCCAGATGGTCTTCCTGGTCAACCTGGGTACTCCTCTGGTGAAGGCCAACGACCCCGTGCTGAGTTTCTCCCTGCTGTTCTCCCTGGTGGTGACGTTCCTCTCCTCCATTGTCTTCCTGGGAGAGCCCCAGGCCTGGAGCTGCATGACCAGCCAGGTGGGCCTGGCCCTGGGGTTTGCCCTGGCCTATCCTCCATCAGGGTGGGGGTAGAATAGGATAGTCTCTAAACTGCTCTCATCCTCTCTTCTCTCTCTCACTATGAGAGAGAGCAAGAGAGAGAGCATCTACGGAGGAGACATAGGCAGAGCGAGATTCAGGTCGAGAGGAGGCTAGAGAGCAGACGAGTAGCTCGAGATCGATCGACGATCGGTACCTAATCAGCCTTTAAACCGTCAGTCCTCTCTCTCGCATCATCATCTTCTCTCTCAAATCTCTCTTGATCTGCTCTCTGCTCTCTCTCTTCTCTCTCTCGCTTTCTCTTCTCCTCGCCTCTTCTCTCCTTTTCTCCTCTCGTCTCTCTCTCCAGGCTTACGGCTAGCACCTTAAGGAATCATTGGCTGTAAGTGACATGATGGATACTCAGTGCCTACAGTAGAGTACAGCTCTTACCACATTGCTCACACAAACCTCCCCTTTAACCTTGATGATGTGTTGTTCTAGGTAAGGCTGCAGTCCTTATGCTCAGGGCCAGGGTTCTGAAGGCTGCCAGGTCCAAGGCCAAAGCCACTGCTAAGGCTGCAGCTCAGGCCGCAGCTCAGGCCGCCGCCGCTGACACCAGCCCTGACGTCATCGTCACCAAAGGCAACATCAACAACAACGATGCTGTAACCACTGGCAACGGCGATGTGGACTCTCTCCGTCCCGCCCACCAGAGGGTCCTGGCTGCCATAGCAACACTGATCCAGGCGGTGGCGTGCACGGTGTGGCTTATCATTATCCCACCGCACCCGGTCAAAAACAGGGCGGCGCAGAACATCAAGATCATCCTGGAGTGTGACCAGGGTTCTGTGGTCTTCATCTGCTGTGTCTTCGGCTACGACATCCTGCTGGCCCTGTTGGCCTTCATCTTCTCCTTCATGGCACGCAAACTGGAGGACCACTTCAGGTAGCTAGTCACCTTCATGGCACGCAAACTGGAGGACCACTTCAGGTAGCTAAGTCACCTTCATTTCACGTAAAAATGGAGGAGCCCTTCAGGTAGCTAGTCACCTTCATGGTTGTCTCCCATGCAAACTGGAGGACCACTTCAGGTAGCTAAGTCACCTTCATTTCACATAAAATGGAGGAGCCCTTCAGGTAGCTAGTCACCTTCATGGCATGCAAACTGGAGGACCACTTCAGGTAGCTAAGTCACCTTCATTTCACGTAAAAATGGAGGAGCCCTTCAGGTAGCAAGTCACCTTCATGGTTGTCTCCCATGCAAACTGGAGGACCACTTCAGGTAGCTAGTCACCTTCATGGCATGCAAACTGGATGACTCCTTCAGGTAGCAAGTCACCTTCATGGTTGTCTCCCATGCAAACTGGATGACTCCTTCAGGTAGCTAGTCACCTTCATGGTTGTCTCCCATGCAAACTGGAGGACTCCTTCAGGTAGCTAGTGGACCTGGACGTTACTTAGCTTAGCATTTACATTACATTTACAGTGGGGGAAAAAAGTATTTAGTCAGCCACCAATTGTGCAAGTTCTCCCACTTAAAAAGATGAGAGAGGCCTGTAATTTTCATCATAGGTACATGTCAACTATGACAGACAAAATGAGAAGAAAAATCCAGAAAATCACATTGTAGGATTTTTTATGAATTTATTTGCAAATTATGGTGGAAAATAAGTATTTGGTCAATAACAAAAGTTTCTCAATACTTTGTTATATACCCTTGTTGGCAATGACACAGGTCAAACGTTTTCTGTAAGTCTTCACAAGGTTTTCACACACTGTTGCTGGTATTTTGGCCCATTCCTCCATGCAGATCTCCTCTAGAGCAGTGATGTTTTGGGGGCTGTCGCTGGGCAACACAGACTTTCAACTCCCTCCAATGATTTTCTATGGGGTTGAGATCTGGAGACTGGCTAGGCCACTCCAGGACCTTGAAATGCTTCTTACGAAGCCACTCCTTCGTTGCCCGGGCGGTGTGTTTGGGATCATTGTCATGCTGAAAGACCCAGCCACATTTCATTTTCAATGCCCTTGCTGATGGAAGGAGGTTTTCACTCAAAATCTCACGATACATGGCCCCATTCATTCTTTCCTTTACACGGATCAGTCGTCCTGGTCCCTTTTCAGAAAAAACAGCCCCAAAGCATGATGTTTCCACCCCCATGCTTCACAGTAGGTATGGTGTTCTTTGGATGCAACTCAGCATTCTTTGTCCTCCAAACACGACGAGTTGAGTTTTTACCAAAAAGTTATATTTTGGTTTCATCTGACCATATGACATTCTCCCAATCCTCTTCTGGATCATCCAAATGCACTCTAGCAAACTTCAGACGGGCCTGGACATGTACTGGCTTAAGCAGGGGGACACGTCTGGCACTGCAGGATTTGAGTCCCTGGCGGCGTAGTGTGTTACTGATGGTAGGCTTTGTTACTTTGGTCCCAGCTCTCTGCAGGTCATTCACTAGGTCCCCCCGTGTGGTTCTGGGATTTTTGCTCACCGTTCTTGTGATCATTTTGACCCCACGGTGTGAGATCTTGCGTGGAGCCCCAGATCGAGGGAGATTATCAGTGGTCTTGTATGTCTTCCATTTCCTAATAATTGCTCCCTCAGTTGATTTCTTCAAACCAAGCTGCTTACCTATTGCAGATTCAGTCTTCCCAGCCTGGTGCAGGTCTACAATTTTGTTTCTGGTGTCCTTTGACAGCTCTTTGGTCTTGGCCATAGTGGAGTTTGGAGTGTGACTGTTTGAGGTTGTGGACAGGTGTCTTTTATACTGATAACAAGTTCAAACATGTGCCATTAATACAGGTAACGAGTGTAGGACAGAGGAGCCTCTTAAAGAAGAAGTTACAGGTCTGTGAGAGCCAGAAATCTTGCTTGTTTGTAGGTGACCAAATACTTATTTTCCACCATAATTTGCAAATAAATTCATTAAAAATCCTACAATGTGATTTTCTGGATTTTTTTTCTCTCAATTTGTCTGTCATAGTTGACGTGTACCTATGATGAAAATTACAGGCCTCTCTCATCTTTTTAAGTGGGAGAACTTGCACAATTGGTGGCTGACTAAATACTTTTTTTCCCCACTGTATATATATATATATATTTTTTATTATTCTTTTTATTTATTTTTTATGGGGGGGAGGGGGGTAGACGGATTACTTTCATACTATCCCAGGTATTCCTTAAAGAGGTAGGGTTTCAAGTGTCTCCGGAAGGTGGTAAGTGACTCCGCTGTCCTGGCGTCGTGAGGGTGCGAACAGTTTTGACTGGGCCAGAGGTGGAAGAACGCAATGCCCTCGTTTGGGTGTAGGGACTGATCAGAGCCTGAGGGTAAGGAGGTGCCGTTCCCCTCACAGCTCCGTAACAGGTTTGGGTGTAGGGACTGATCAGAGCCTGAGGGTAAGGAGGTGCCGTTCCCTCAGGGTAAGGAGGTGCCGTTCCCCTCAGGGTAAGGAGGTGCCGTTCCCCTCACAGCTCCGTAGCAGGTTAAAGACTTGGATAGCTGTGGACTAGCAGCTGTCATAACCTTGCAACTTAACTTATCATAACATGTCTTACCATTGCGTAACTTATGATAGCCTATCTAAGGGTGTTTTCATGTATAGTCCTCTTTAAATAACCAATCTCAGTCCTCTTTAAATAACCAATCTCAGTCCTCTTTAAATAACCAATCTCAGTCCTCTTTAAATAACCAATCTCAGTCCTCTTTAAAGTGAACTCTGGGGTAAAAAAAAAATAGCTGAAAATCTCACATCTCTTTGTATTCACACTGCCCTTGCCTTTGAATGAGGACTCAACTCTTTTGCCAATTCACTTAAACTATTTTGTGGACCGAGTTCTCTTTTGCATTCACACAGCTGTGTTTAGAAAGGAACCAAGATCTTTTTCCAACACTTTTACAAAGTGCAGGACAAGCCATTAAATCAGAATGCGTTATCGGACAGCTAGATACACCTACTTACATTTTGGAAGTTAATAGATTGCATTTAGTTAAAATATGAGACATAATAATTGTAATCAGAAGATATTATTAATATGTACATTTTATTGCTAACAGAATAAACAGTAATAGAATAACTGCAGATTAAATAATGCTGTAATTGAAAATTGTCCACCCAAGGTAGGCTACTGCTCCTTTATGAGCTAGAATAGATGTTGTACCCTATGTTGTAATTCTCACCAAAATATATTGTCTTCTCACTATTCAAACCCCACAATCAATAAACTGCTTATGAAGCTCTCTTAGCCCATAGATCACATATTGCAAACAAATAATCTGAACTAAAAACACCACACATTTTGGAATTTCTGTGCGTCCAATCGCTAATCAGTATCCAAAAACAGCACACATTTTTGTGACGGTTTATGTCAGGGGAAACGGTGTTGCAGTAGTCTAGTGTGTGGGTTTATGGCAGGGGAAACGGTGTGGCAGTAGTCTAGTGTGTGGGTTTATGGCAGGGGAAACGGTGTGGCAGTAGTCTAGTGTGAGGGGTTTATGGCAGTAGTCTAGTGTGAGGGGTTATGGCAGTAGTCTAGTGTGAGGGTTTATGACAGGGGAAACGGTGTGGTTGCAGTAGTCTAGTGTGTGGGTTTATGGCAGGGGAAACGGTGTTGCAGTAGTCTAGTGTGAGGGGTTATGGCAGGGGAAACGGTGTTGCAGTAGTCTAGTGTGTGGGTTTATGGCAGGGGAAACGGTGTGGCAGTAGTCTAGTGTGAGGGGTTTATGGCAGTAGTCTAGTGTGAGGGGTTATGGCAGTAGTCTAGTGTGAGGGTTTATGACAGGGGAAACGGTGTTGCAGTAGTCTAGTGTGTGGGTTTATGGCAGGGGAAACGGTGTTGCAGTAGTCTAGTGTGAGGGGTTATGGCAGGGGAAACGGTGTGTTGCAGTAGTCTAGTGTGTGGGTTTATGGCAGGGGGAAACGGTGTTGCAGTAGTCTAGTGTGAGGGGTTATGGCAGGGGAGGAAACGGTTGTGTTGCAGTAGTCTAGTGTGAGGGGTTTTGGCAGTAGTAGTAGTAGTGTGAGGGGTATGGCAAATAGTCTAGTGTGATGGGTTATGGCAGTAGGTCTAGTGTGAGGGGTTATGGCAGGGGAAAAAGGGGTTGTGTTGCAGTAGTCTAGTGTGAGGGGTTATGGCAGGGAAAAGGGTGTGTTGCAGTAGTCTAGTGTGAGGGTTTATGGCAGGGGAAACGGTGTTTTTGCAGTAGTCTAGTGTGAGGGGTTATGGCAGGGGAAACGGTTTTTTGTTGCAGTAGTCTAGTGTGAGGGGTTATGGCAGTAGTGTCTAGTGTGAGGGTTTATGTCAGGGGAAACGGTGTTGGCAGTAGTCTAGTGTGAGGGGTTATGGCAGTAGTCTAGTGTGAGGGGTTATGGCAGGGAGGAAACGGTGTTGCAGTAGTCTAGTGTGAGGGGTTATGTCAGGGGGAAACGGTGGTTGCAGTAGTTAGTGTGAGGGGTTATTTGGCAGTAGTGTCTAGTGTTTAGGGGTTATGGCAGGGGAAAACGGTGTTGCAGTAGTCTAGTGTGAGGGGTTATGACAGGGGAAACGGGTGTTGCAGTAGTTTTAGTGTGAGGGGTTATGTCAGGGGAAACAGTGTTGCAGTGTCTAGTGTGAGGGGTTATGGCAGGGGAAACGGGGTTGCAGTAGTCTAGTGTGTGGGTTTATGGCAGGGGAAACGGTTGTGCAGTAGTCTAGTGTGAGGGTTTATGACAGGGGAAACGGTGTTTGCAGTAGTCTAGTGTGAGGGTTTATGACAGGGGAAACGGTGTTGCAGTAGTTTAGTGTGAGGGGTTATGGCAGTAGTCTAGTGTGAGGGGTTATGGCAGTAAGTAGTCTAGTGTGAGGGGTTTATGGCAAATAGTCTAGTGTGAGGGGTTATGGCAGTAGTCTAGTGTGAGGGGTTATGGCAGTAGTCTAGTGTGTGGGGTTATGGCAGGGGAAACGGTGTTGCAAGTAGTCTAGTGTGAGGGGGTTAGAAGGGGAAACGGTAGTTTGTGGCAGTAGTCTAGTGTGAGGGTTTTTGGCAGGGGAAACGGTGTGGTTGCAGTAGTCTAATGTGAGGGGTTTTTGGCAGTAGTCTAGTGTGTGGGGTTATGGCAGGGGAAACGGTGTTGCAGTAGTCTAGTGTGAGGGGTTATGACAGGGGAAACGGGTGTTGCAGTAGTCTAGTGTGAGGGGTTATGGCAGGGGAAAGGAAATAGGTGTGGCAGTAGTCTAGTGTGAGGGGTTATGGCAGGGGAAACGGTGTTGTTGCCGTTTGTCTAGTGTGAGGGGTTATGGCAGGGGAACGGGTTTTGTGGCAGTTAGTCTAGTGTGAGGGGTTATGGCAGGGGAAACGGTTTTGCAGTAGTCTAGTGTGAGGGGTTATGGCAGGGGGAAACGGTTTGTTGCAGTAGTCTAGTGTGAGGGGTTATGGCAGTAGTCTAGTGTGAGGGGTTATGGCAAGTAGTCTAGTGTGAGGGGTTTATGGCAGTAGTCTAGTGTGAGGGTTTATGGCAGTAGTCTAGTGTGAGGGTTTATGGCAGTAGTCTAGTGTGAGGGTTTATGGCAGTAGTCTAGTGTGAGGGGTTATGGCAGTAGTCTAGTGTGAGGGGTTATGGCAGTAGTCTAGTGTGAGGGGTTATGGCAGTAGTCTAGTGTGAGGGGTTATGGCAGTAGTCTAGTGTGAGGGGTTATGGCAGTAGTCTAGTGTGAGGGGTTATGGCAGGGGAAAACAGTGTTGCAGTAGTCTAGTGTGAGGGGTTATGGCAGGGGAAACAGTGTTGCAGTAGTCTAGTGTGAGGGGTTATGGCAGTAGTCTAGTGTGAGGGGTTTATGGCAGTAGTCTAGTGTGAGGGGTTATGACAGGGGAAACGGTGTTGCAGTAGTCTAGTGTGTGGGGTTATGGCAGGGGAAACAGTGTTGCAGTAGTCTAGTGTGAGGGGTTATGGCAGTAGTCTAGTGTGAGGGGTTATGGCAGGGGAAACAGTGTGGCAGTAGTCTAGTGTGAGGGGTTATGGCAGTAGTCTAGTGTGAGGGGTTATGGCAGGGGAAACGGTGTTGCAGTAGTCTAGTGTGAGGGGTTATGGCAGGGGAAACAGTGTTGCAGTAGTCTAGTGTGAGGGGTTATGGCAGTAGTCTAGTGTGAGGGGTTATGGCAGTAGTCTAGTGTGAGGGGTAATGGCAGTAGTCTAGTGTGAGGGGTTATGGCAGTAGTCTAGTGTGAGGGGTAATGGCAGTAGTCTAGTGTGAGGGGTAATGGCAGGGGAAACGGTGTTGCAGTAGTCTAGTGTGAGGGGTTATGGCAGGGGAAACGGTGTTGTAGTAGTCTAGTGTGTGGTGCAGGAATAATGACAAGCAAACCTGGGGAGCTTTGCATTCACATTGTCCTAAAAAAGGGAACCGGACATCGGAATTCAAGCGATCCAAACTTAGAACCCCTCTCGAGATGGTCTCAGATCGATTCACTTCGGGGCCTCTTTTAAGGGGTCTGAGTGCCTTTGGAGTGTTCACACTCCTTTAAAAAAAAATAAGCGAACCGCACTGAGTTCACAAAAATTGTCTGAAAGGTCCAAGTGTGAAAACACCCTTAGAGTTGTCGCGCTCATTTAAATGTCCTTTCTTTTCCTGCTTTAAACCACTTTTTTAAATTGTTTGGGGTTTCTCGATTCCAGCGAGGCCAAGTGCTTGACCTTCGGCATGTTGGTGTTCTTCATTGTGTGGAGCTCCTTCGTCCCTGCCTACCTCAGTACACGTGGTAAGTTCATGGTGGCCGTGCAGATCTTTGCCATCCTGGCGTCCAGCTTCGGCCTGCTAGCCTGCATCTTCCTACCCAAGTGCTACGTCCTGCTGGTCAAGCCCGAGTACAACACAGAGGAAATTATGCAGACGCGTTCCAAGCCACGTGACGGGACCGGGACTGGGACCTCGGCCTCGCTTGCCACGGCGGCCACTGAAGCTACGACGGGCACCGTTGATGATTAGGGTTAGGGAGGGTGCACACGAACACGCACACTATGGGCAGACACGAACACCCACCAGGAGGCACACTAGGGCCAGTGATACGTCGCACTAACTAGGGACGACGCAGCATTTCATTGTGGTGTCTGTCATTAGTTTCCTGTGATGTCATTATAATGTATGTCGTTTTTTTTTTACTAATGAGGGGGGAAAGTATTTGATCCCCTGCTGATTTTGTACGTTTGCCCACCGACAAAGAAATGATGGTACGTTTATTTGAACAGGGAGAGACAGAATAACAACAAAAAAAAATCCAGAAAAAACGCATGTCAAAAATGTTATAAATTGATTTGCATTTTAATGAGGGAAATAAGTATTTGACCCCCTCTCAATCAGAAAGATTTCTGGCTCCCAGGTGTCTTTTATACAGGTAACGAGCTGAGATTAGGAGCACACTCTTAAAGGGAGCGCTCCTAATCTCAGCTTGTTACCTGTGTAAAATACACCTGTCCACAGAAGCAATCAATCAATCAATCTTTGGCATCAACTCAACTCGCCGTGTTTGGAGGAGGAGGAATGCTGCCTATGACCTCAAGAACACCATCCCCACCGTCAAACATGGAGGTGGAAACATTATGCTTTGGGGGTGTTTTTCTGCTAAGGGGACAGGACAACTTCACCGCATCAAATGGACGATGGACGGGGCCATGTACCGTCAAATCTTGGGTAAGAACCTCCTATCCCTCAGCCAGGGCATTGAAAATGGGTCGTGGATGGGTATTCCAGCATGACAATGACCCAAAACACACGGCCAAGGCAACAAAGGAGTGGCTCAAGAAGAAGCACATTAAGGTCCTGGAGTGGCCTAGCCAGTCTCCAGACCTTAATCCCATACAATATCTGTGGAGGGAGCTGAAGGTTCGAGTTGCCAAACGTCAGCCTCGAAACATTAATGACTTGGAGAACATCTGCAAAGAGGAGTGGGACTAAATCTACAACTACAAGAAACGTCTAACCTCTGTGATTGCCAACAAGGGTTTTGCCACCAAGTACTAAGTCATGTTTTGCAGAGGGGTCAAATACTTATTTCCCTCATTAAAATGCAAATCAATTTATAACATTTCTGACATGCGTTTTTCTGGATTTTTTTAATATTTATTCTGTCTCTCACTGTTCAAATAAACCTACCATTAAAATTATAGACTGATAATTTCTTTGTCAGTGGGCAAACGTACAAAATCAGCAGGGGATCAAATACTTTTTTCCCTCACTGTATACCAATGGAGTTCTCAGGGAGTAGAACTACAACCAAACACAGAGCTGCAACAAAGAGATATCTACACTAACATGGCATGGATATATATGGTAGATGGATAGGTCCCGTCCTTATGATAACTGTATATTACTTTGACTTTATAAATGCTGTCTTGATTTTTGATTTTTGATTAATTACTTTGAGCCATAGTTTTTTTTTTTTAACAGTGCGCTGGCTTGCTATGGTGGTAGAAATATGCTGTATTTGTGAGATTATTTGAGATGTCTCAGAAAGGTGGGCATACAAATGTATCTTTTGGCAAATTTTCACCTTTGTACTGTGAATTTAGAGGGATTGTCATTTAATTTGCCTTTATATCATATTTGTACAGGTACATCAATGTCTAATGTTTCTGTATAGGAATCTGCATAAGTAGGCTAGTGATCATTGGATCATCCCCACTGATTGGATCATCATCACCACTGACTGGATGGATCATCACCAATGATTGTAAATGTTTTCATAGGGAAGTAAAGATGTATTGTTAACATTTAACATTGCCTGCCTGTCATTCATTTGACTTGAAGTTACTTGCTTTACGTTTCACACTTGTCTTGAATGATTGCTTAAAGTGAGTTGTAAATAGGGACCTTGTTGCAGTGGAGACGGGAGGCAGGTAGGCTACAGGTGGCAATCAACGATTTATATATACACAAGTTGACTGATAGGGGGCGCTGTGTTGAAGCCACCGCGCCTCCATCTTGGCACTCCCCCGATGTTGTAAAACATATTTTGGAAGCTATAGAAATGCATTTATTAATGTGTACATTTGTTTTTTACCACATTTATTCTATTATTAGACACCTTAATGCTTAACTTTTAAATTATATTATGTGAGCTAAACATAAAACAAAAAAATATAAAAAACGTTTTCCTTAAAGTTTAAAACTTTTTTGAGATGACTAGTGTTACTGTCCCAACTACAACAAAACTTAAATCCATGTAACTTTGTCCTTGAAACATTACATTGAAATACTGTAGAATTCCAGTCATTCCTATGGATGACTGCTCCTTCTGGGGAGTGCCAATATGGCCGACCTGTGGCTTCAAAGCCTCTCCATGGCCAATACACAGCATCACTGAGTGTACAAAACATGCTCTTTCCATGTTATAGACTGACCAGGTGAAAACTATGATCCCTTATTTATGTCATCACCTGTTAAATCCACATCAGTCAGTGTAGATGAAGGGGGAGGAGACAAGGTTAAAGAAGAATTTTTAAGCCCTGAGTCAATTGAGACTTGGATTGTGTATGCGTTCCATTCAGAGGGTGAACATGCAAGACAAAATATTTAAGTGCCTTTGAATGGGGTATGGTAGTAGGTGCCAGGCACACCGGTTTGAGTGTGTCAAGAACTGCAACGCTGCTGGGTTTTTCACTCTTAACAGTTTCTCATGTGTATCAAGAATGATCCACCACCCAAAGGACATCCAGCCAACCTGACACAACTGTGGGAAGCATTGGAGTCAACACGGGCCAGCATCCCTGTGGAAAGCTTTCGACACCTTGTAGAGTCCACGCCCCGACGAATTGAGGCTGTTCTGAGGGCAAAAGGGGAGGTATTAGGAAGGTGTTCCTAATGTTTAATTGACAAAGCTTTGGTGCCAGAAGCACATAGCAGCGGGAAGTAATTTGGGGGGTGGGGGCTGCTGTAGTTTTGCCCGCGCTACAGTCGCGAATACAGGACTAGTAAAGGCCCAGTGCACTACTTTTGTGAGAAAAAACATGTACATAAAAACTAATATAATTATAAACTTTTAATTCAACACCCCTACTTACCGCCAAGTATCTGGCAAGAATATCCAAAAATGGACGTTTAACTACTTGGCCACTTGTTGGACCAGGTCAAAATAACAATATAAACTCATTGTTCCAGCCACGCAATCTGATTGGTCAAAATCCCAATGGCGGGAAGATGCGCATAAAGGCCAGACGAGGCCTGACGAGACAGGAGCGCACCAAATATTTTGGGGAATCTTTTTTTATTTTATTTTTTTATATAGGAACCAAATAAACAAACTTCCTCCTGAGTGAACCATTGTTCATGAGCCCCACAACACCGCGGTATAGGCCTAAATAAAATGCAACAACGATTTAATACAGCGAAATGAAATATAGCCTATGCCTAACTGCCTACAAAGTTGCAATAAATGGTAGGCTAATTGGATGGAATGGTATAATGCTAGCATTTATTGTAATGAGATGGAATACAGATTGAACAGGGGGAGTTTTGCTAAAATAAACAATCAAATCAATCAATTTACCTATGGGATACAAAGCCCTCACAATTAGTGCAATTGGTGGGAGCAGAGCAGACTAATAAACATATATCTCCCCATTATTATTTCATGCTAAACAATGTCATATTTCATCACGGTAACTGGAAGCTGGACAGTAACTTCCTAATCTTGAGGCTGTTCTGAGGGCAAAAGGGAGGAATTAGGAAGGTGTTCCTAATGTTTAATTGACAAAGCTTTGGTGCCAGAAGCACATAGCAGCGGGAAGTAATTTGGGGGGTGGGGGCTGCTGTAGTTGTAACGAGCAGCAATAGTTCAGACGCTTGGGTTATTTGAACAAATCACAATTTAGCAGGTGTTAAAATCTTTTGAACGTCAGAAGAGGGGACATTCGGCCTATAAACTCGCAAAGAGAGCGTGGACCTCCTCCTTCTAACATCTCTTCTCTTAACACATATGGACCCAGAACTTAATTGAGCAGCTGACCAATTACACAATACTTTAGTTCGGTCTTAACCGATATTAGTAACTTCCAGACCTTTTGCTATTCTCCGTTTCTCTAGGCTACACTTTGAGCAAAGAAACGTATGAGCCATCATATTTATATGGGAAATCAGCAGTTGCTACATCCATTTCTTTACTTATAAAAATATATATATATTTTATAATATAAAAAAATATATATATATATATATATATATGTACCCATTGATTCTTGAAGAATATAACTTATAAATGCCTCGTGCTTAGTTCAACTGTCGTACCCCATCAGAACCCAAAATATAAGCAAAGTAAATGTAAACCACCACTACATAGCCCCGGAACATGGTTAAAACTAAAACATATATATATAATGGATGGTCAGTCCTTGCATCCATACATCTGTCTAATAATATGCCATTTAGCAGACGCTTTTATCCAAAGCGACTCACAGTCATGTGTGCATACATTTTTACGTATGGGTGGTCCCGGGGATCGAACCCACTACCCTGGCGTTACAAGCGCCATGCTCTACCAATTGAGCTACAGAGGACCACAAATTAGTGGTTACCAGTGGTGTGTATTCATGGATGCCTAGGGAAGCCAGGCTTCCCCAAAAAATGGACCAAGAAAAAGAAAAGAAAAAATAATAATTTTAGTTTCCTAATTTTCCTTCAATTTCCCTCAAGAGGCTGAATGTATATCACAGGAGAAAGCATCCTAGCCAGCGAAACAGCGCCCCTCTGTCTCTCTACGTCAAGGCCATCTATCTGATGCTGTCTGGTCCAAATGAGTATGACATTGTTGCCGCCCATAGCATTGAAGGCAAGGGAAGCCAGCGAGAATTTGGCCTCCCTTAATAAAAAAAGTATAAAACATTAGCCAATCAGTGTTGAGCTAAACTGACCGAGCTCAACTGTGAATGGTCCTGGTGCACCAAATAAAAGTGTCAAGGGAAGCCAGCTTGGATTTAGGTTCCTATCAAATCCCATTGAGAGCACACGTCATTGACAGAAAAACTTGAATTGTTGCATCTCTTTGTGTTGTTGTCCTCTGGTGGCTATCTAGCTAGCTATAAATTGGCCCTTTCCTAAACTGGCCATGGATGGAGATAGGGATTTGGACTTGTGGTTTTACTTAATTCTCCGTACTGGCCAATGATTATAACAGCGATTCTGATCCAACCATTAATTAATACATTGTTATGTCCATGGCCTGAGAGTATGGAAGTTCAAAATGTAGAAGGCTAATGTTAACTAGCTAAAGCCCATGAGTGGCAGTAAGGTTAGCGAGCAAGCATTTTAGCCAGGTAGCCTAGGACAACAAAAAAGAAAAGTGTGTACTGTATGACAGTGATAGACCGTTTCATCAACATGAGAGGAGGATGGCATTGGCGTTTCTCTACAAGTAGGGTGAGTCAACATGTTTTTCTACTTGCACGAACGCACACACACACACACACACACACACACACACAGAAATCAGAAACATGGACAGCCACATCATATTTAGCTTACGTTGATTGGACTAAATTGTTTTTGGTATCTTTTAGTTGTCACTGTATTAGACTAAGCAGAGGTGATTTGATGATGTTGAAAGTTGAAATGGTGCTGGAATAGTGGAGGCAGCTCCTGTTTTCTTTGCGACTTGCGGTACTCTGTGGTTCTAACTCAATAGTTCTTTAGTGGTCTGAAAATGTCGAAAACATTCACTTGCTTGACCATGCTGTAGGTCATGTTACTGTACATGCAATATGCTTTGTGGACTTCACTGGACAGAGGTTGCTATCCGGTTTTGTGATAAAACAAAAGGTTTGGTTGAATTTATTCTGCCACTGTGTCTTCTTATTGTCTCTGCCTTTAGGCCTATGTATCATGGTAGCAAGGCAAATGAACTAAGAGGTTATAGAGCAAACAGGGCAATTATCACAACACATGGCTTGGCTTCCCCAGTGATTTTACCCACGCACCGTCACTGGTGGTTACATTTCGCCAGTCCCAGCCCTCAGCTTGTTACTGAAACAGGGGCGGGGAGGACACACTGGGAAGACAAGGGTTATAATCACGAGGAAATTAAATGTGATTGTTATTACAGCACACTGTAAAATAAAGAGGCAGAAGACATTATGGTTTTATTAATCATTTCCTGCAATAGCCAACTTTAATGCAGGTTGTGTAGGCTACTTTGTTCTAGGGCTTAAATAATGTGATTGGTTTAGGGCCGAACAAATCCGATTAGTTTCTGACAGGTCAATGGGCGGGGTTTAAACTGAGAATCTTGTAAATAAAACTTTGAGTTACAAGTTGTAACATTTTGAAATCATTGTGTTACGTAGTGACACTAACAAACAACCGGTCTCCTGATTTGAAGCAAATCATTAAATGTTGCAAGCTAGCAGCCACATGCTAAATGAATTAAAGCTAGCAAGATAAGCATTTAGCATCCTCTTAGCTACTCATGTTTAATTAATAAATAGAGCTAGGTGTCAGATATACAATTGTCAGCTAACATTTACTTTATTGAAATATTAAGTTGAATAAGCTATATGAACTTAGAAAATGAGGATGGACAGTCCTGCTGCCCCGGGGGCAGCAACGTAAAATGCTAAGCTAAACAGACCTTATTTAGTTGGCTAGCAGATCTCCATCTCTTACTAAT